ATAGATGTTTGATTGATTCAATATTCTATGTACAAGGTTATGAACTTTATTTATTCATTTATTTATTTCTAGCTGGCTTGACCAAGCGTATCAAGTTGGATCGCTACTTGCATCCACACTTCCGGTACTACATGAGGGAGATCAGAACTGTCGTTTACTCACAGTTCTTGGAATCTTACAAGAGCGTGACAATCGAAGCTATGGCCAAAGCATTTGGAGTCTCTGTGGATTTTATTGACCTGTAAGTTCTTATTATCATGCCTTTCCATATCTTTGATAGTCTTGATACCATGTTCCTGTTGCACATAGGGAGCTATCTCGTTTCATAGCAGCGGGGAAGTTACATTGCAAGATAGACAAAGTTGCCGGAATTTTAGAAACCAACCGTCCCGATGCCAAGAACGCCCTTTACCAATCAACCATCAAGCAAGGGGATTTCTTGTTGAACCGGATTCAGAAGCTGTCTCGTGTTATTGATCTTTGAAAGAAGTATGTCGACTCTCCGACTCCCATGTAAACAATGTTCTTTTGCCGCTAGGGTTACTTCGCTCGGATTTTTCCAGGCTCAGGTGTTCTTATATCGACTTGAGAGAATTCATCGGCTTCTCATAAACCTTTTTTTGTCTGATTCCTAATTTTATTCCCTCCTGAAAAATGTTCTTTTTGTTGCCTTTGATAATTTAGATTTGAGTTCTTTTACTTTCTCTTCTGTGTTTCTTTTGGTCATTTGATTACTATTTAAGGGTTGATGAAAGTTAATTGAATGAATTATTATGTGTTTTAGAGATTTTATTAGTATTTTAAGGTAAAACTTGTTAGTTTCAGTGTATGTTTGGGGGCTTGTGTTTGTTCAGCTGAAATTAAACTTTTTAAATTTAATAAATTTTAAATGTCCAAATTATGAAAAGAAGACAGTGAACAACAAATGGAGAAGAAATAAGATGAGAAAAGGCTGGTTGGTAGTACCAGGGGTGACCAGATTTTCTTGTTTGGATTTTGTTTAAATTGCACAAAATTCACCGGTGGTTTTGTGAAATTGCACCAAATTCTCAATACTTTTAAAATTGCGTCAAACTCCCTCAGCGAATATAAATTGTTAAACCCTTAAAATTACAAAATTACAAATATATTTATTTTTTATATATTTAGCCTAAAAAAATAGTAAAAAAAAATAAACTCTTAACACAAAAATAAATATATTTGTAATTTTAGGGGTTTCCGCTAAGGGGATTAGACGCAAAGTTTATGAAATAAGGATTACAAATATATTTATTTTTTATATATTTAGCCTAAAAAAATAGTAAAAATAAACTCTTAACACAAAAATAAATATATTTGTAATTTTAGGGGTTTCCGCTGAGGGGGTTAGACGCAAAGTTTATGAAATAAGGACCGCTGAGGGTTAGACACAAAGTTTATGAAACCACGAGGGAGTTTGACGCAGTTTTAGAAGTAAGAAGGATTTTGTGCAATTTCATGAAACTACGAGTGGATTTTTTGCAATTTAGTCTTTTGTTAAATTCGAACCAATTCATTTATTATTTATTATTTATTTTTTAAGTTAGTTCGAACTTAATTAACTGAAATTCAAATTTTGAATTAGAAAATTCGAATAAAATCAAAACATTCCAAGAATCAAATCAAAACATTCCAAGAAAAATAAAACGAAGAAATTTAAAACTTGAAATTCGAATGAGAAAATTCTACAAATAAGTAAATTAATTAATTAAGAATAATAAATTTAAACAAATAGATTGTGTTTATATACTCAAAAGAAAATTGAATTGAGCTTATGGGAGCACAGAAGAAAATTCTACAAAGAATTGAGTGTTATAGGAGCACAGAAGAAAATTAATATTCATTATTTTCTCACCAATTTAAAATATCAAATTTTAGTTCTCTATTTTCATTATTTTTCTTAAAAATTTTATGAAGATCATTACCATTATCTTTGTGGTAAAATTTTTTATACTCCCTCCATTCTATATTCATTTGTTTTTTTTTACGTAATTTTAGATATATTAGTATTATATTTGGATGTAGTATGAATAAAGTAAATGACTAGAATAACGTTGTTAGTATGTGTCTAATATATTATAAGTTGTAAGGGTATTTGTAATGTTACGTAGATAGTACCATTACTAAAAAAAAATAAATACTAGACGGACTAAAATGGAAAAATAGATATTTTATTATGGGATAGAGGGAGTATATAGATCCCATATTTTTCAACGCATCATTTAATGCAAAATTATCATCAAGTCCCAAATTTGACAACTTTTATTTTTTCTTGCTCATTATTTTTCTTTTAGTCATAATAATTGGTTGTTTGTAATCAATATATGTAACATATAATTCATTCATCTTCAACTATTTTTATAATTGAGTTAGCCAACCCAACATCATTTACACTAGACAATATAAGTTTCATCAATTTCAACTTGTATCGAGAATCAACAACAATAACCAGAAATATTATCTTATTCGTCTTATTTGATTTTCCCCAATATTTGTCATTTTTTAAAATATTTTTGGTCATTTCATTTAATTCATCATTGTTATATTATATAAAAATCTTCAATAAAATATGTACTTTATAAATCCCATAAAGAAAAAAGTTAGAAGTAATTTATAAAGACCTAGAAATTTTACAAGTTATCTCATAGAAAATCATCAAAAACTTTAGCATCGTTTCTGTCTTCATCCAATCATTCTTACTAGGTATTCTATCATTAGATTTAAGATGAATTCTATACATTGGATCTGAGACATCAAATCTAGAAAAACTTCATCGAATGCAAATGCAATTGATGCTTCCAACATCAAATATGTTAAGTTCCATCTGGTAGGAACATCGAAGTACAACAAACTCTTACTTGATATATTTTCTACTTTACCACATTATTTAAACTTGTTCAATCTAGATCTCGAGTACCTAACATTATTTTCTTCACAAACACTAAATTGAATATATAACCAATGCTTCTCATGTGCATATAGTTATAATTTTTTATGTTTTTTCCCATCTGATTGATAGCTTCTATTTATAGCACATTAATACAAATTCGAAACTATGTGATTAATTATACTAATAATATACACAATATAATATTTTTTGAGGAAAAAAATGTGGTGAAAATATTTTCAAAAAAACTCAACGGCGCATGTTTGGTTGCTAGCCCTATTTTCTATTGGATTGCTCTACATAGCTTAAGTATGAATCATCCCATTTAGGTTTTTAACTGATCATTGGTCATTGATTCTTTGTTCATATATTTTCTTGTGCTCATTGTGTATATTTATTTTTTGAGCAATCTCTTTCTATCTTAAGATTATTTTTTCTCTACATAATCGAGTCCTTTATCTTCAGGTGGTGTAAAATTGATATTGGCTTTAATTAATAATTCTTTTCGCTCTATAATTCCGAATAATTAGTGAGATTGGATAACCTTAAGGTGAATTTAGTATAGAAAATAGAATAGTAGAGAAACGAATAGAGAATTTTATTAAGAGAGAGTTTCAATGAAATGGAAATTTGTAGAAAAATATTGCTGATCTGCTTAGTAAGTAATATTTTTTTTTTTTGTTTGAACAACAATTTAAATACCATATTTTGTAAAATCAAAATAGTGTGACTTCTCTGTCGGGCCTAATTTACAAGGTATTAGGTTCGGTCGGGGTTTATCCAGTGCGCATTTTCGAATAGCAGCTGCGGGTTTCAGCTCATAAAAAAAAATAGTGTGTTTCTAAAATCCCCAATAAATTTATGTTTGATTAAAAATAAATAATGAAATTTAAAGTGAATGTAATTTTAAAATCCATGAAGGATTTTTCAGTAATAAACAACCCCTATTATTTTTAAATCTCATTCTCATTCATTTCACATTTTACTATTATACATTCCTATCCAACAAAAAAAATCATTTTTTTAATAATATATGTATATATATTTATATTTTAAATTATTTTATTGGTTCTATAAAAATATAATATTTTATTTGAATATACCTTTACAAATATATATAATTATTTATAATCATTATTTTTATTTATATTTATTTATATTATTAATAGTATTTTAAATAAATTAATAATTTAAATTTATTTGACTGGTATTAATTTTTTATTTTAGTTTAAAGTGTTTTTTTAATTAGATATGATAAAGAGTATCGATAATGTAAAAAATAATATAATATATTAAATTATTGTATTTTTTAGTATAGAAATTATATATTATATATTCTCTATAAATCTACATATATTATACTGTTTAATATTAATTGAAAATCGTATTAAATTTTTTTATTAGAACACACACAATTTGGTGAAAAAATAAATAAAGTTTTAAAAAACATGGATGTAAAATTTAATTTATTGCAATAAATAAAAATCTGTGAAAGGATAATTATGTCATTTAAAATATAAAAAATTCAAATCATTCAATTAATCTACAAATCAAAGTGGATTTGGAAAATATAAATGCACATTGTTTTACCAACCAAACATAGGATTACAAATTCATCAATAAATCCTATCACAGGTAAATCCTAACTTAAAATCTCAATCCCATAAAAAAACACAACCCTTTACTGAATAATTTTTTGGAAATCTTCCTTCAACACTTACAATTATTATTTTCCCGGTGATACCAATTTAACAAGTTAAAAGACACAAAACAATTACTCCCTCTGTCCCATAACAAGGTATCCATTTACTCTTTGCGTGTTGATATTTGAATAATAATTATTATATCAAAATATATTACAAATCAACAGAAAACGACAAAAATATTTATATTAGTGTCTTATAATGCTAATATAATATAATGACATTTGTACAAAAATTATGCAAATATAATAGATATTTTTAATGTTAAGTACAATGACGCCAAAATTCAAATTGATACCTTATTATGGGACAGAGGGAATATAATAATAAGTCCTCAAAAGTACCTTAGATATATATACCAACCAACATCTAGCCTACTCATTATCTTCATATTAATCTTCATCTTCACCTTCAAAGTCATCATCTTCGTCTTCATCTTCATCTTTGTCTTTGTCTTCATCTTTATTTTCATTGTCGCCTTCAGACTCGTCATCTTCATCTTCATCTGTGTCCTCAACTATATCTTCAGAGACTTCAATCTTGAGGATATCATTTCCCATGCTTTGTTGTTCCTCTAATATTTGGTATGCCGAATCCGCAGCTGACTTACTGCAACAATTTAATTGAATTTCGCGCAATGTCGGTATATCTCCAACACCTGAAGGGATTTCTTCCAATGAAGGTAAGTTAGACAGTAAAAGCATCTCAAGAACAGGATAATGGTTTCGATCAGCTCTCCAATGTACTAAATCACTACCAACAATCATAAAAAATTTTAATCGAAGAAATTCGCCTTCGGTTGAATTCCACTCAGAGCCTTCTGAAGTATCCCACAATATAAGAATTTCAAGATTGGGTAATGAACCAACCATTGACATACCACTCCAAGGAATTCTGCATCTCTTCAGAAACAATAATTTGAGGGAATTCGGAAAGCCAATGTTCTGCAATGTATTGTCGACTACTAGTCTTTCGAGTTTCTGTAATCCGGCAAGATTACTCAAAAAAGTATTCGACACTACCATACGCTTATCATACTTTATTTGTAGTTCCTTCAAATTTGGGATTCGACTGAGAATCTCATCAGTGAGCTCAAAATTCCTTACACAGCTAAGGATTTGCAGATTCTTGAGAATGAAGAAATCTTTCTCTTCGACACGAGCATTTGGAGGCTTTGGAAATGCAAAATCCTTGAAGTGAATAATTCTAAGTTGCGGCAGCTCCCATATTTCAGATGGTAAAATCTTCATCTTTGACTCCTTAAATATCAGACTCTGAAGGTTCCATAGCAAATGTAGCGTCGAAGGAGATATAAACTATGGAGGCTTATATATGGAAATGGAGACACATCGTAATTTAGTGTGTTGCACAAGTGAATCATCATCGATGACCTTCAAAAATCTTAGTCCCTTTGTATATGAATAAGCCGCTTTACAATCGTGACAAATATGAGGATTAAGAACAAATGGAGAAAGATTTATTCGATCTTCATCTCTAACTAGACCTCCACATTGGAAACAAACTCTTCTCTCATATTGTAGATTGATGTTTTGAACTCTTGGAGAACACAAAAAATTGTCTTTTTTAGATACACTAATGCATAGGTCTCGCAAAAGATCATGAATTCCGCATGTTTGTACTTCCCTTGTACCTTCATCTTGTTCACGCCCGAAAAGTAGATTTCTATCAATAAGATCCTTCAAGTATTCCTCTGCATGTTCTTCCAAACTTTTATCTTCTTTCATTATTATGAAACCTTCGTCGACCCATGATCGGATTAGATTGGAGACTTCAATTTCAGCATCTTCGCGAAAAGCTCTCATGTAGAGAAAACACGGCTTGAGGCTCTCATGTTCTTCCGAATCATTCTCTTGAAGCTCATCCTCTTCATCATAAATGATCCGCTTGCCCCGAAATGACCTGGACCAATAGGGAAATCCCAATTCATTGGGACTTTCGATACAATCAAATAGAAAGCCCCAAGGGCGCCATATTCTAGGAGCCCAAACTATGTGATTGAAGAAATCCTCCTCTATCTGTTGCGGGTCGAGGGCTCTTTCCCCCTCCCCTTCTTCAAACTCCGATTCGTATTTTTCATAGAGAAATCTCTGATCAAAGATGGAACAAGATCCATTTTGCATCATATCTAAGGGATTCTTCGGTTCGGGTCGAAGAAGCAATGGAACTCGATCATTATCAAACGGACTGCAATCTTTCAGAGCGCCTTCTACTTCGAATAGGCCATGAACTAGATCCGAATCATTCTCAATATATAGGCAGATTATTATAACTCAAGAGTAATATATTCAAACAATGCTCGCCATTGCTTGCATTTCCAATGGAACTTACATTTTCCGCAACTGATTCCCAATATTCTTTATTCATGCCAGACTTTGCAAGTAGTCCTCCTATAACAGTAATTTGCAAAGGAAGCCCTCTACAATTTTCGACAATCACCCTTCCGATTTGCTCCAATTCTGGATGTGAAAATTTTTCTTTTCCAAATATAGTTTGGCAAAATAAACTCCAACTTGTATTTGTATCAAGAAATGTCATTGGATACGGGTCGTGAGAGGCTAATGAACCGGCTACTTGTGATAGCCTAGTGGTCACAAGAATCCGACTTCCATTACCATTATCCGGAAAGAACCTCCTTAAATCATACCAAGCTTGAAGAGTCCATATGTCATCCATTACAATTAAGTATCTTCTGCCATAGAGTTCCTTGCGCAATATTTCCCCAGGCCCATCTGAATTTCCACCATGTCTTTCTACTTTTCCGTCATTGATAAGACCAAGAAGGATCTCATCGACGCTATACTCCTGAGAAATTGTAATCCAAAGGCGCACATCAAAGCGTTCCATGGAATATTTATCTTCATAAAGTTTTTTAGCAAGAGTAGTTTTGCCAATACCTCCCATGCCGACAATTGGGATGATTTGGAGATTGCCTTCATATCTAGCTAGCTCACCCTTAATATTGAACATGTGTTCTTCAAGTCCAACAATCACATTCTTTCCAATGGAGGATGCAGCTGTCGAAGAACCATCAGCAGGAACAGAAACTCTAGTTTGTTTTTCAACCACAACCTCGTCCACGACCTCTTCAACCATCGATAACTTCCTCTTGATATAGTCAACCTTTCGATCATAGTGTCCAAATCTTTATCGAATGATCCCGCGCCCATATCACTACTTTCTCCCTTTTGAAGTTGACTCACAACATGTAAGTCAAAAATTTCTTCGACCTCCAAACTAACTTCAGATATTTTCCTCCAAAGATCTCCAGCCTTCTGGCTTTTACTTCTGTGGTTCACTTCAAGGATTTTCAACAAGAAATTGACACCTTCTTGGAGAGATTTAATCCTTTTTATGTCGACATGAAGGCGACGAAGCTGAGCACGGTAATGAACGTTGTCGAGGACATGAGTAAGAGAAACCAATGATGCATAAGCAGCTACAGCCATTTCTTTGTACCTTAACTTTAATCTGAGCTCTTACAGGCAGCTGTAGAAACTGAAATCCGCAGCTAATATGGATATATTTTTGTACCAGTGTTGGAGAAACAGTTTCTGGTTCAGTTTTCGTTGGATGAACAGATCCAAACTGAATTATTTTATGACAATTACAATTTTTTGAAGAAATAATACAATAAAATCTTTTAATGCCACTAGCTGCAAAAGCATCTTTGGTTTTTAAAGATTGAAATATTTTATTGGTTAGGTCTGTGTGAAAATGAATTGGTCTAAGTAGGAGATTCTCATCTAATAAATTTATTTTTTGTTTTAAGTGTGGTGTTTTCGGATTTTATTTTTATTTTTAATAGAAAATATAATTTTTTAATGTAATTTTTAAATATACTAATTAAATATGTTACTTGAAATAAAAAATAAGTTAAAACAATAATGAAGTGTTTGATATATATATATATTTTTCAATACTTACTCACAGTCACTCATGGACCGTCGAGAATTTTATCCAATTCAAACATATATGCACACACTCGGAATCGAACTCAGGATCTAACCTTCTAGCAAGGGATGTCTCGCTGTTTGAGACTAATTTCCAAAGATCATAATGAATCCGGGTAGATCTATTATTTTGACTCATTCAAATAGGGTCGGGTTTCTTTATTCGATATCCGCCACCCGGTTTCCCTATCGGTAGATATGGGAGATCCGCCAAGTGATATCACGAAGCTGCAATCGCAATCGGCTAAGGCACGCCTGTAGGGTCCAGTGGCCGGACGACGATGAAATCAACACTATGTTACACCTCGAGTCAGTCTCGATCCATAGAGGAAGAAGGTCGCGCTCCACCGCTAGGTTCATGCATGTCGGATTGAGTTTGGGTTTGGATCCAAGTTGAGATGGAAATTTTAAAAATTAAAAGGTTATTAAGATTATATTGGCTTTTATCGGGTATATCTAGAATTAGATCGGGTATAGTTGTGTCTAGATATAATCGAGTTGGATTCAAATCTAATGATATGTATTATAATCGGGTATTGTGTGTAGGCACCTAACTCATTGTCATCTCTATTACATTTCAACAGTTTATCAATTAATTACAGTAGTGTTTTCATTAAAAAGTAAATTGGCATAGGATAATATTAAGTGAAATTCGTTAAAAAGTGTTCGACAATTAGCTGTTTGTTACATGATTCAATTAACTGTATTTCCTTATTCAATTAGTTGGTTTGATTAGCTTAATTATGCATATTACCGAATAATTTCCGGAAATCGTTGTCTCCATCTTCAACTCTTCCTTCAGACACCTTGTCTTCATCTTCAGAATCATCAAGACATAAATCTCGACGGTGTCATTGTTCCTCTAATATCTGGTATGCCGAATCCACAATAGACTTACTGCAATTTCGCAAAAGAGTTTTATGACAGTGTTGGTATATCTCCAACACCTGAAGGGATGTCTTCCAACAAAGGTAAGTTAGACACTAAAAGCTCTCCAATGTACTAAATCACTACCAACAATCATAAAATATTTTAGTCGAAGAAATTCTCCTTCAGTTGGATTCAACTCAGAGTCTTCTGCAGTAAACATCAAGGCAAGAAATTAAAGATTGAGTATCGAACCAATAGAGCCATTTGTCACGGGCTGACATTCCTGCCCCTGGTTCTCGGCCATAGTCCCATGTGTGCGAGCCCCTGTCCTGTATGGTTGACTAATGACCCATATCTTGGTGCAGGTACGTGTTTCGTATGATTCTCCCATACTCTATGGTATATCCCGGACGTATTGCGCATAGGGGACGGCTGGGCGTGGCCTAGGCGCCGGGCGTGTCAGCTTCTGAACACGTTACACATTCCAAGCTATTCTGCATCTCAATAGAGCCAACTCTTTTAAGTGAATTCGAAAAGCCAATGTTCTGCAATGTATTATGGACCGGTAATGATTCAAGTTTCTGTAATCTGGAAAGATTAGACAATGAAGTATTTCACCCCCTCGTACACTTATTATACTATCTTAGTCCACAGCCAATCTATTTATTTACTTTTTGCATGTGAACATTTTAATATTAATTATTATATCAAATCAAGGAAAACTATAAAAATACTAGTGTCTTGTAATACTCATGTAATGATATTTGTAAAAAAAGATTTATACAAATATAAGAACATTTTTTTAATGTTAAAAATAATGACGGCCAAATGCAAATGAGTAGATTGACGGTGAATGAAGATAGTAATTAATTACAAGTTTCTTCAAATTAGGGAATCCACCGAGAATCTCCTCGGTGAGTTCAAAAATCCTTGCAGTGTAAGGCTTTATAGATTCTTCAGAATAACGAAATCTTTCTCTTCGTCATGAGCATTAGGAGGGTTAGGCAATGACACTTGTTCGGCTTTAATAACTCAAAGTTGTGGCATCTCTCATATCACTAAAAAAAAATAGTATATTTGTAACGGAATTCCGTTCCTAAAGTTCACGTAGCTAATGTAATTCCATCTCAAATTCCGTCTCTAATATCATTAGTAACGGAAAAAGTAGATTTAACAACGAAAAAATCTTGTTACAAAATTGATATTTTTTTGTAGTGTTTCAGATTCTAAAACTACGATATTTGAATCAAATATCTGAGTTTGAAGGTCCCATACATAGAAAATGCAGAGTCGAAGGAGATATAAACTTCGGAGGTTTATAGGTAATATATTCAAACAATGTTCGTCATCACTTGCATTACCAAAAGAAGTCACATTTTCAGCTGCTAATTCCCAATATATTCTTTCTTCATGCGAGGCTTTGCAAGTAGTCCTCCTATAACAGTTATTTGTAAAAGAAGTCCACCGAAATTTCTAACAATAATTCCTCTTCCAATTTGCTCCAATTCTTGATATGAACAATTTTCTTCTCCAAATACAGTTTGACAAAATAAAGTCTAACTTGTATCTGTGTCTAGAAATCTGTCGTATAGCGTCTTGCGCAACACTTTCCCAGGTCCATCTGATCTTCCATCATGTCTTTCAACTTTTCCATCATTTATAAGACCAAGGAGGATCTCATCAACACTAAGCAAAATGTGAACATCAAATCGTTCGATGACATATTTATCTTCATACGCTCTTTTAGCAAGAGGAAAGTCTTGCCAATACCCCTATGCCGACAATCGGGATGATTTGGAGATTTTTATCATATCTAGCTAGCTTACCCTTAATCTTGGTCACACGTTCGTCGAGTATTCTTTTTCTAATGAAGGATGCTGCAGTTGAAGAAACACCAGCAGGAACAGAAGCTCTGGTTTCTTTTTCTACCACTGCCTCTTCAACCATCGACAGCTCTCTCTCAATATAGTCAATCTTTTGGATCATGGTGTCCAAATCTTCGTCGAATGATCCAGTGCCTATATCACTACTTTCTCCCTGAGATTCCTTCTGAAGTTGACTCACAACATGTGAGTCAAAAATTTCTTCGACCTCCAAACTAACTTCGGATATTTTCCTCCAAAGATCTCCAGCCTTCTGGCTTTTACTTTTGTGGCACACTTCAAGAAATTCTAACAAGAAATTGACACCTTCCTGAAGAGATACAATCCAATTTATGTCCACACGAAGGCGACGAAGTTGAGAACAGTAGTGAATGTTGTCGAGGAGATGAGTAAGAGAAACTAACGACACATAAGCACCAATAGCCATCTCTCGAACGCTCTGAAATTTAAACTCTTACAGCTACAAGCATCTGAAGACAACAAATCTGCAGCTACTATGAATTTATTTTATTTTGTGTTAAGGGGTCAAGGTTGAAGATTCTAGCATAAGAAATCTATTTTAAATGTAAACATTGAAACTAACTAAATTTAGACACCTGAGTTCCACTGACAATTAATAATACACTAACTAAATATCTTAAGATTATTTAGAAATAACAACAAAGATATAATGTTAAATGGTTTACTCCCTTTGTCCACCAAAAGTATGCTAAAAAAATTTGGGGCATGGAGATTAAGAAAAATAATATTTTAATGTTAGTTTTGTACTTTTGTTGAGAAAAAAAGGTATAATTGGAAGGTTTGTTGAATTGAAAAAAGATATAATATAGATTGAGTGTAAAAAAATAATGACATAAGTGTAAATTAATGTGAAAATGAGTAAAAATTTAAAAATAAATAGTACTTTTTTACTTGAAAATGGTATAGGAACATACTAAAATGGTAAAATAAGCACAGTTTTGATGGACAGAGAAAATATATATCTAGCAATACTTCAATCTAGTTCGGTGCTTGATTTGTATTAAAATTATCGCAAATACAAGAAGGGAAGAAGTAAATTTACTAATCGAAAAGACAAAGCCTATTGAAGGATGAAAAAAAAAAAAAGAAAAAAGAAGAGGATAAAACATGAACAACATCAAAGAGGGAAGTGTTTGTATCAATAATTGAACAAAATTATTGGGGGGAAAGTATATAATGGGTGTGTTTGTTTGGGGAATTGGATCTTAAATTCATTATTCATCTCATTTTTTTCCTCCAAAATCATCAAATCAAACACTTATTCTTCATTTTTTATATTATACTATTAAAAATCAATTTTACATTCAAAACATCACATCAACACCTATTTATATTACATCATACAACTATTCAAATCTAAAATTTTTACTATTCAAATCCCAACTCAAAATTCAAACCCCCAACAAACACACCCAATGTAAAAATCACAAATTGTGCTGCTCAAAGTATTGAATAACCCTTTGAGTAGTAAATTTTGATGGAAATAAAATACAATAACAAATGGTGTATATATATATATATATATGGTAGGAAAGCTGGTGTTGCTGCAGGTTATATTTCTGATTTTTCTTGCATGATTTTTTTTTCATCAAGTTGTCAAAAGCCCTCTAAAGAGATTGAAGTTTGATGGAGATGATTTTTTTGCTTCCTGGAAATTTATTTTGCAGAACTTCCCAAACATCATTTGCTTTATGTTTGTTAAAAATTTGGGGATAAATTGTTTTGCTTACACCTTGTTTTAAATATCAAGTTGTTCGTTGCATCCTTCTTCAAAATTTCTTATTGCTTTTTGTTGAATTATTTTAAATATTTAGTTGTAGATTTAGCAGATTTATATTTAGATTTGATCTTATTATTAGAGATCGTAAGTCTATCGAGTCTGTTTTGTATTGTTTATATATATATATATATATATACAGTCTTTTTATTTTGATGATCAAATGAAATAATTTTATTATTTTTCCCCAAAATTTCCAATATTTTTTAGTTGTGCATGCTCCTTATGTAGGTATAGGATAATCATCTTCAATGAGTTATGGAATTATCCTAGAATAAATTAACCCAATAAAAAAAGTGATCTTTTTTTTTTATAAAAATTATAAATTATATACTATGTTTTTTAAGATTATATTTTAGTACAATTTCTTTAAAAATTGTAAAAATAAAATAATTTAACAATAAATTAAATTTAACTTTTGTAAAATTGATATAATATAATTTTTAAAAATTATAAAAATTAAATAATAAAAAAAATTAAAAAGAAAATATACTGCAATATTATTTCTCTCAATATAAAATAGACATATAAAAACAGAAAAATAAAAATGATTTATTTCTCAAATTTTATTTCTTTAACTCAAGCAAACAAGATAAATGAGACCATTGTCATCTTTCTAACCTCATTTTTCTATACTAAACACATCATTCGAGTAGTTGTAGGAAGTTCATCTAGATATAGATTGGGGTTTGGGAAAGTTAATCACAAGAAAGATAGAGAGGAAAAAGAAAAGAGAGGGGGAGGTTTTTGGGTGATTCCGATGGTTTTCCGGGGGTTTTTGGGTGAGTACTGGTGAGGTTTAAAAGCCTTTTCGATGGCAGATTCCGGTAGGTGTCGAGACTTAGAGTGAGGATCCGACTTCCAACCTTGAGGTGTGGATACCGGGGGCCATTTTGCACCAAAGGTCTGAGACGTTGCGGGAGAAAAGATGGAGAGAAAGAAGATCGATATTCCTTGGTTTGATCAGTTCCCGGAGCTATTGTCGGATGACCGGAGAAGATGGTTGGAGATTCAGTTTACCGCCGGAGTCATCGTGGTCGTAATTAATTTCGAGTGAAATGAGAATTGAATCCGAAAATGGAAAAACTAAACAACGGCCATGGAATTTACAATTGATTTCAATTGCTTAATTTTTAGTGTATTTGATTTGATAGTCCATTTTTCTGAAAATTTATAAATATATACATATGTATATATATATATACCTTAAATCATTTCCATCTCGAATCATTGAATTTTTAGGAATGCTAGAAACTACTAATTATTGTTCAAATTTTCACATTATGTGCACATAATGTGACGGTTCATTCTAATTTCTGATATGACTAGCATATCATTCTCATAGACAAGTTTATCCAATATCAAATATTGATCAAACCCACCATGCCTCAGGTCACCTGTCACACATGGTTCCTCTACTGTGACTTTTCTGTCGGGTTTGGTTTACAGAGTATTAGATTCGGCCGGGAATTTATCCAATGCGCACTTTCGGGTAGCGGCTGCGAATTCCCACGTCATAAAAAATATATATATATATATATTGATCAATCTTTTAACGGCTGCGGATTCCACGTCATAAAAAAAAAATATTGATCAATCTTTGGAGGAGGATTTCCAATTCTAGATTTATATTTTTTTCTTCGGACTATAATTAGTAACTCGACAAAAGTAAGAATACTACAGCTATAAAAATTGCATAACACAATTTTATGTGATCTTCCATTTTTCTCTTTCTATGTTTGAGTGGCGTATCTTGCAATAAAAATAAAAATATATATAATAAGATACCACAAAAATATACCAATAGAATTACAAATGGGTATTACCCGTAGATGCAATTGTTCGTGTATTACTAGCTCATGAATTTCTTTAAAAAACAAAAGGGCATGTGAATACCAAAATTTAAAATAAATAAATAAATAAATAAAAAAAAATTTTGCTGAACAGAAAGATATAACAATAAAAATTAAAATCAAAGTGAAAATAAAATTTTAAAATAATAGAAATATTCTATTATTAAAAAGTCCTTCATTTACATAATCTCAAACTTTTTTTTAAAAAAATATCTCTTTCTTTATTTTAAAATCAAACATCATTCATTAAAATTTTAAAATTCAAACACCTTCAAATCATCTCCAACTCCAAAACCAAGACATAAGACAAAATAAATAATGCATAGTGGACATAAAAGAAAAAAAAATAAAAAATAAAAAATCCACAAACATAGGGACAATTACCTTTGCAGAAAATTACCATAGTAACCGTGGCAACTCGCCCCTTTATTTATTACCTTGAATAGCAAGAAGTAAACAAAATTTAACCAAATTTAACGACACTGATACACAGCATAGCGAGAGTCCACCGTAAGGTTGGTAATTCGTGTTTTGGGATTGTGTTTATGTCGGATTGAGCCATGGAATTAACAAAAATACTGTTAATCCGAACTTGAAATTTGACCTGAAACTCTAAACTAGAACACGACATAAATTCTTTCAGGTCGAGTTCAAATTGACCTAAATTAATTTCAGATCACTCGAAATCCGAACAAATTCAACACGAACCGAAACAAAACAGACCTGAAAACTTAAAAAAAAATTAAATTAATCGTTAAAAAAATTCATTTTTATTTTTATTTTTTATATTATTTTATATTTAAAATAATATAAATAGTATATAGTAAAATAATAATAATAATAAATAATTTCAAGTACACCCGAAACACGGAATTTGAAATCTAGACCTGATTTTTATATTTTGAATTATCAGGTCAATCCGAAATAACGACCCGAGCACAAACACAAAATTTTTTTTGTTCAATCAAATTTTTTGCAAACCCAAACTACCCAAACCCCAACTTAAAAATTTTCAGGTTAATAGGGATCGAATTTTTTGGGTCGGGTTTAATTTTAACGCCTTAGTCCATGGGGATGCCAAACCAACCCTGCCCCGCCCTTCCCCTGATTTTACTTTATTGCACTTTGTCTTTTCATTACATCGATTGTGTCGCAGCCATGCGCAGACCATTCTCATCCACCGAACACTACACTACACTCTACACACATAAACAGAGATATATATATATATATATAATATACCTCTCTTAATTCACAACCATGCACGACACTGATTTTCTTCCATAGCCAAATCAAGCTTAATTTGGAATTTTCTTTTCTAGTCGGAATCGGAATTCCAATCCCAATCGCCACCGCCATGCTGCCTAGTCTCGACTTGAGAGACATCCAAGACAAGCTCTCTGCTCACTTGAGTCCTTGGCACCGTTCCTTTCAATTCTGGACTCGCGCCGCCGATATCTACACAGGCTACAAAGTAATAATTTCTTTCCATACCATTTCCTTTTATTTTCTAGGGCTTTCGATCTTCTAAGGGGAATGGGATGGGGTCAGGTGTTCCAAGTCCGGGTGAATTTCGAGCGAGATGCGGGGAAGAGGGAGGCAATGTGGGAGAAGCAGCACGAGCTTGCCGCAGAAAAGATATACTCCATGTGTTCTGACCTCGGGGGCTTCTTCCTCAAGGTTTTTTTGCTCGACTCACTTCATTACTGCTTTCAATTTTTTGATTTTAGGGCTTTTTTTTTTTTTTTTTTTTTTTTTTCTCGATAATTTATTCCCTTTTCTGTGCACAATTTAGGTTGATTCTTTGCGTGCTCCAGGGTTTGGTTGATTGCCTCAATTATTTCCTTTTATTGCTATTTTAAGTTTGCAAATTTAGTTACGTGCTAAATTGGAGAAATTTATCACGGTCAAATGATTTGATTTTATCAACACATTCTTATGTCTATTAAAATGGTTTAGTGTGTTTGTTTGGAGGTTTGTAATTTAGTTTGGGATTTGAATATAAAAAGTTTTGAATTGAATAGTGGTAGGATGTTATACACTTATACTAATACATTTTGAATATAAAATTATTTTTTAGTATAATATTAAAAATAAAAAGTAAAAGTTTGATTTGATATTTTTTGAAAAAAAAATGGTAAATAGTAGAAATTTTGGAAAGTTTGATAAGAGAACACATATGTATGAATATTATATATGTATTTTTATTCCATTCAACGGTATAATCTTGAAAACTACTTTATTAATCACAGTTAGATTACAGAAATCAATTGGTTGTTTGGTTTTGATTTGAACTTGAGTGTTAGTTTAAATAATATTTGACGTGATGTTTTGTGATAGAAAATAGTGTATTTTTATTGGAAATTGTATGAGTTGAATAGTGGTGTTTTCATTTTGAAATGAAAACAAAATTTCCCTTTTAAGTTATATAGAATAATTTAAGTCTGATTTAAATTTATATGAAGTGATGCAACTGAACTTGGTCATTTTTAGTTATCTTATAGAAGCCTTTATAAAAAGAAACTCTTGTTTGCGGTCGAAATAATTGAATACAGAATGATACAGCCTTATCAATTTAAGCTTTTAAAGGAGGTGGTTGTTTCGTAGAGATTTATGAAAAAGAATTATACATGCACACGAGGGGTGTGTTGAAGAATTAAAGCCATTGCCTTTTGATTGTGCGGGTTATTTAATAGGAGAATGTGGCTGGAAATTTATAATATCTCGGATATTGTATCCAGTGATTGTGGTTTTGTTTTGTTACATGTTATGTTATGTATTGTTTTTTATTTTATTTTATTCTTTTATGGTGGAGAATATTCTGTGAGTGAATCGGAATTGGCAATTCTTCCGATTAATTTTTTATTCCTAAAGGTTGCTCAAATCATTGGGAAGCCGGACTTAGCTCCAGCGGCATGGGTCAGAAGGCTGGTCACATTGTGTGACCAAGCTCCTGCTACACCGTACCATGTGATCAAGGTTGTGCTGGAGAAGGAGCTGGGTCAAAGTGTGGACAAACTATTCGAAAGATTTGATACTAATCCTCTTGGTTCTGCGTCGATTGCACAGGTATTATCACATGTGTACACTGACTGAAAGGTATTGATGATTTTGTTTGAGCAAATTAGAACTTGGAATTATAATAGGTGCACGATTTTGTCTTTCTGGTAAAAAGAAATCGGCCCTGTGTACTCTGATTAAGAGGTATTCATGCTTTTGTTTGAGCAAATTAGAACTTGAAATTGTAATAGGTACACGATTTTGTCTTTCTGGTAAAAAGAAATCGGTTTGTCCCTTTATTAAGAAGATTTTACTCCAGTTTTCCTCCAGTTTTACGTACGTAGCATGTATTGAGTAATGTAATATGTAGCTTATTAGAGAAGGGGGTTGCAAATAATTCTTTTAAGCATTTCCTTCCTTAGGTATTGCTTTTGATGGTATTTGATTTATGGATCTTTAGGATAGAAGAAACTTGATTTTCATACAGAGAGGTTGAGGAGATTGAGGGGAAAGTAAAATTTTCTCTCCATTAGAGAATCACCGGATGCTTATTTTTCCATCTGTATTTATTTCTATAGAAATAATTCAAAACTGAAGTTCCATTTTGTTTTTTCATGATTTTGGTGCTTTGTTGTACTTGAACAAAAAGGTGTATGAGCTTTTATGTTTATCTTTAATTTTATTTTACTTTAGTTTCTTTTGCATTTTGTTACTGTTCCTAATGTTTGTAAATCAGATGTTATAAGGATTTGGAATGTGTAATATGTGAATTGTAAGTTTCTTCTATCTAGTTATGGTTATATAACTTGTTCTTTCTGAATCTCGATCTACTACAATATCTTGGAACATGTTTGATCTTTTGGTTGTGTGCATCCTTTTTGACTTTGATGGATTATCAAAATTTTGCTGCGACTGCCTGTGTGTAATCAGGTTCATCGAGCACGACTTAGAGGTGATAAACATGATGTGGTTGTAAAGGTAAGAGTAATTGACTGCCAATTTTCTAGTCCTGATGTGTATCAAAATTTTTAAGGGCTAATATAATTGTCATTGCAGATTCAGCATCCAGGTGTTCAGGATTTGATGATGACTGACATTCACAACTTGCAAGCATTTGCTTTATATATGCAAAAGACGGATGTGAAATTTGATCTATACTCTGTGACCAAGGAAATGGAGAAACAGGTTCTGTTTGTTGCTTAGTTGCTTTATAGCTTTTTGTATTCATATTCAAATCTGCAATTATAGCTACTTGAAAAATTTCCACTTACGAACTTTTTTTTTTTTTTTTTTTTTTTTTTTTTTTATGTTTATGTTTACCCCACATAAAGCTTTCTGTTCTAATAATCAAAGTTAAAATATCCTTTACTTTTCCTCTTCACTAGGATCTGTGATATGATCCTGTGATGTAATCCAACAAGTGGAAACAAAATATTATGAATTGTTCTGTAATCCAAAAAAAAAAAAAAACAAATCCTTTTCTGTTCTAATAATCAAAATTAAAATATCGTTTGCTATTCCTCTTCACTGGGATCTCTGATATGATTCCTTGTGATGTAATCCAACAAGTGGAAACAAAATATTAATGAATTGTTTCATTTTTATCTGATTTTTTGTGTCAGTTGTCTTATATTTTCACATCATGTCATAAATTCTGCCATTTTTGTTTTTTCTTATTTCCTCATGATGTGTGTTGGATATTCTCAATTTGGATGTTAATAAGATACTTTCCAACTACTTGACATGAATTCACAGAAGGAAGCTAACACATTATCCTCTATATTTGTCCTTATTTATTTATTTATTGGTGGAAAGAAAGAATTTTTTAAATAGTAGAAGAGAGAATGATTACAGAAGGATCATAGGGTCCAGATAATAGATGTAAAGCTGAATCATAGGCCTAAACCTTGTCTATATTTTGCAACGAAATCTGCAACTGCAAGACTGTTTGCATTGTGAGAGATGTGATGGAAGGTGATTTAGGGGCATTAGGAGATGTTAAGGTGTAGCTTGTTGATGTCAGCATTCATCTTCAATCAAGCACATGTTTCGAATTGAATTCTACAGTAATTTGAGGTAGAGGGCCAATATGTACTAGAATAATGTGTTCAAGGACTTGAACAATGACTATGAGTTCAGCATCATTTGAGTCTGCTGATCCAATATGTTATGATAGGATGAATCGTATATGACTAAAATGGTCCCAGATAACTGCTCTGACACCCGATGGCCCTGGCTGTCCATAAGCCAAACCATTTGAGTTAATTTTCTACCACCCTCGGAGAGGGGCTATCCAAGAAATGATGGATAAACCCTAGGCTTCTTGGCCTGCTTACAGGACATGTCTTGGAGATTATTTACGAAAGAAGAGGAAAAACATCAGTGTTGGAAACATGTGCCCAATACCAATCTCTGACCAAAAGATAGGTCTTAAATAGGATCCAATCCGATGAAAAGTGCTCATTGTTAAATGACCCTATCGAAACCTTTATAGATCTACTGAAGGATGATCTTGAGAGTTCTATGCCATATTTTGATGTTGGTGGACTTGTTGGCAAGGGCGTGCCATTCAAGAAAAAATTCCTCATCGGAAGATAGCTGAACCCAAGAAATGTTCCAAAGATGTAGAAAGTGGTCCCATTCCAATCTGAGACTAACTAAGAAACGTGCAAGAACAAACAGGAGGTTGATTTTTTAAGAAGCCTGCGAAGAGGGCATAAACTATTGGAAATCGAGCAACCTAGAGATGATAGAACATCCTTGCTAGAAGGTCACTTCTAGCTAGCTTCTATAAGAAGGTATTGATATGATGAGGAGCTTTCTTTGCACAGATAATCAGGTCAGGAAAGCAAACTTGAGAATGTTGGGAATCTAAGAACCAATGGAAGGACCACCGACTACACAAACCATCGGAATTCTAAATTATTCTGTCTGCGCTATTTTCTAAAAAAATGCTTGATTTTAGCACGATTTGGAAGTCTTCCCAAACCTTCTATTCCCAATAAAAGGATTCAGGCGCAACTTGATTTCCAATTTCCAAATTCCATTGTTCTAGAAGCCGAAATCTTGTATAGACCTTGATATTTGGTTGGCCAATGAAAACATGCAGGCAAGTGCATATTTTTAAAGGTTGTGAAGCCAATGATCAAGGATCATCTCAAAACCTTAGAGTTTTACCAACACCACTCTAGCACCTGAAATGTTTCACTTTAGAGCAATCCTACACCTGAAATGTTTTTGTTTGAGAGTGATCTCACACTTACGAATTATTGCCCTATGACTATATGGACTTTTGTCAATTAGTTTGAATGGCCAAATGAGGGATTTATACTTTCCACCGAGTCACCGACAACTTTCCTCCACATAGCTCCCGGAACCTCCATGCCCATTTGAAAGAAATGCTTCATTTAAGTGAGAAAGTTAAAACCAATATCTCGGAAGCTTCCTTTCTTGCATAGAGAGTTGCAACTAGTTAGTTACATTTTTCTATCCAATGGAATATCCCTTAATGCAACTGTAGAATTTGCATTCAAGACATAGGATTTGTCAAGGAATCCTAGATAAAGACTAGAAGTGGAACGGTAGATTTGTCAAAATTGACTGAACAAGTGAAGCTTGGTCGCTAAAAGAAAAAGGTTTGGCTTTCCAACACTTAGTCTCAATCCACTTTTCAAGGATCAGGTTCGAGTTCTTCTTTTCACTGACCGTTGCCCCCATGTAAATGGGATGCTACAGACAACACATTGATTGTTTCGGCTGAAGGTTAGACATAATTGACCTTGTACTAACGGGTATCTTATCATCCTGATTGTCTTATCCTTGTCTCTTTCTGAATTAATTTCTCTGATTTCCCAATTGGGTGATGCTTGTTAATGACAAGAAATAGATAAGTGTTGTTAAAATATTTGCATCTTTTTTCATTTTATTTTCTACTCAGTTGAAGTAATGCTTTCTGAGCTTACCATCTTTTCTATTTTCTTTTCTGTCCCTTGTACCTTTTTAAATTTTTTTTCCTTGTTTCTTTTGTGGTTTCCATTGCAATGTTGATTGATGTTTTCTTTGTTTTTCCTTAAAAGATCGGATATGAGTTTAACTTTCTAAGAGAGGCTGATGCAATGGAGAAAATCCACCGTTTCCTATCTGAAAATAACAAGAAATCCCCAGTTTTAGTACCAAAAGTGATGCGAAATATGTTCACAAGGTAAAATAGTTGCCATCTCCTTTCATTAATGTCTACATTCTAAAGATAAATCTTGATTTTCATATAGTTGAGAATGCTAATTCTGGATATTTTGCAAAATGATAGGCGGGTTTTAGTAATGGAGTATATGGATGGAATCCCAATTCTGAAACTTGGAGATGAGATAGCAAAGAGAGGCATAAATCCTGGTGGTAAGGTAGCAGCAGCTGCAAAGCAGTAAGCCCCTACAACCAACCCATAGTGTATGATATCTTCTTGATTTGCTCTCTTTGTGCTTTATAAACTTGATTGCCATTAGCAAGAATGTCTGATAGCAATTCATTGCCAATAGACTCTTATCTAATCACTTTCTTCTCCTTTGTACATTTTCTAGTTTGTTGGATTCATGTATCTTCACTATTAAAACTTCACTGTGCCTCACAAGGCTTTTTGGTATTGTGGTTGCTAAAATTCTGTTTTGGATGCATCAATTGAATGAATCATAGTGTCTTATATCACTTCTGAAACATAACTGGAGATGATGGATCATGGAATGCTGTAGAGACAAAGTACTTGGGTTCATTTCTGAAACATGTTTATGCCATGGATCATGGCATAAACATTGGTTTATAAATAAATTCCTTTTAAGTTCTGTTTATTCTTTATTTTTCCAGTTATCTCTTTGTGATTGAATATGCTATTGATTTAATTTCTGAGTTTACTTGAAACTCCAATTCCTTTCATAAATTATCTTAATGAACGGAAAGAATGTTTATTAATTGATTGCTGTATGCTGCTTTATCAATCTAAATTGGCTCCCATTCTCTCATATGAAAAATAAATTGCAAGTCAAAGCCTCTTTATATGTTTCAGATATCTACTTATTTGTCATCGAGAAATGACGCTTATCTAAGGGCCGTAAATCCACACTGTACAACTATTAAGGAAGTAAAACAGAACAGTGTTTGTAAGGTCGCCTAATTAACTTTAAACACTTGTGTGCTCTTTTGTCATCTCCTTCACAATATTCATCTTTTTGTTCAAATATTAATGAGACTTCTTTCATGTGTTCCATCCTTCAACTTTTTATTTTTTAAATTTTTAATTTCTATTTACTTTGTCATGGACAGTTGTGTTCGCACCTCTCAAGGATTTATTACCTCATTCTGTATTTTTTAATCACAGGAATATCCTTAAAAGTTTGACACTTGCATATGGGCAGATGATACTGGAGAGCGGTTTCTTTCATGCAGATCCTCATCCTGGGAACATTTTGATCTGTAAAGGTTCTGAGGTAATTCCTTTTCCAATAGATGCAGCCTAATGTCTTGTGCCATTTCCTTCCCAAGTCGTTAGCATAGTTGTTACAGCTAGTTCCTCAATAGGATACGATCTCGTTGTACTAAATTAGGTGGCATTGCTTGATTACGGACAAGTGAAGGATCTTCCTGAGAACCTGAGGCTAGGATATGCTAATCTGGTGCTTGCTATGGCAGATAATGATCCTATAAAGGCATCTGAGAGCTACAGGTTTATATTGCTCGTCTGTTCTCTTGTAATATCTTACATTGAGCTATAAAACACCAACATAATAGAGCACTTAGTTATGGAACTGCATTTGATGTGGGTGAATTGCCAATTAATGTAGTCAATATTCCCTTTTCTCAAGGAGTATAGTTGGAACAAAAAACTTGTGCAGTTATCTCATGTTACGATGGAATAATAGAAAATGGCCGAAAGTTCATCCTAAGATTCAATTGAGATCAGTCTTTTGTATACACTAATGACATCCTCAATGGCAAACAAACATTAATAAAGCCCTTCCACTTTGTAGTCTGTAACGCTTGAAATTTGGGTTTTTGGTTCTGTAGCTTTTGCCTTCGCCAAATACATAATTATGGATTATGGTCTAATCATATTCTTGTTATATTATAAATATTTCATGTGCATTTCTATTTTAATTGCATGTATTCCAAACAGTATGCATGATTTTTGTTCAAAAATTTGTTTAATCTTTCATCAGGAAGAGATAGAAGCTAGGTCTTTGCTTTTGGTCCGCTTAAAAGCTTCAAAATCATGGATGAATGGCTTAAAAGCATAATTCGGTTGTTTAAGATACCTTAGTATTACTATTCTCCAACACAATCTAATCACAATCACCACTGATCAACAAAGCATGAATATTAGAGTTGATTTCTTGTGTATCCATGAACTATAGATGTTTGGTACATCTGTGATGCCTTATTTTGATTTAGGGAGCTCGGTATAGACACATTAATCAGCTGCAAGGACGAACAGAAAGAGATGCTTAAATTAGCTCAAACAATGTTCGACACAAAGCTACCTCCTGGTGTGAAAATGTTGCAACCTTTCTCTGAGGAATCTTCACTTGAGAAAATTGCAATCAAGGTACACACACATATAATATATATGAACACAAACAAATGTTTACAGCATCTGGTTTGCTTCTGAATGATTTGGGTTGTGCTTTTTATGCATTATTGCCTGAATATTATATTAATGCTCTGGTTATTATTTATAGGCATTCCCAGAAGAACTGTTCTCTGTTCTTCGGACAGTTCATTTACTGCGTGGACTCAGCGTTGGACTTGGGATTAACTACTCGTGCGCTGAGCAGTGGAGACCCATTGCAGAAGAAGCTCTGTATCGAGCAGGCAGACTCACAGGTCAGATTTCATAATTCTTAAGTGAATACAAATACTTCAATGCAACATTACACATCTTCCATGGTTAACATGACATATGTCATCGAACTTAAACTATGTATCAGATCAAGAACTCAGAAGAGGGCGAAAACAAGGTATATTCAGACGGATGTTTGGTAAGTGACCAAGTTTTGAAAGGCAATCTTAGATGTATCTTCTAAACCATAAAAGCTTTTTCTGATGGTCTAATTCTATAAGATCATCATTGATTCATTGGGATGATGCAATTTTTGGCCTCGGCTGATTGTTTGATTCTATGTAATTTCTCCAAGTGATACATTTCTTTAAGTTTCAGTGTTTGGATGATTTGATTCTATTATTTGATCGGAGTAATTACATCACATGTATATATTATCTATGCAAATAAACCTTCTATTTACACTCCTCTTGTTATTGTAGCTATTACTTACAGATATTAGAGTAGATCATGTGTTGAATTTTATAGAATGGTAATACAACATATATTTGACGTGTATAAAATATGTCAGATGACAGGGACGGTTGGGGTGCTTATTACCGTCAATCAACACATGGTAATAGTACATACAATACCAGTTGGAATTAAAACAATATGTTGTGAATTATTATAGTGCTGCTGTCAATTCATAACATGCATTGTACTATGTTAACATGTGGCATGCGATGAAATCAGCGGTAATATAGATAGATTGTTGAATTATTACCTTGTGTTGTCGGTATTTGTTTTATGTTAGGATGCAAGCGTGTGGTGAGATCAGTTATGACTTGTGTACTATTATCATATATTGACTACGACTAATCAATACGGTGCTGATTAATTGCTGCCATCAGATCACTTAAAACATTAGCATGATAATAAGCTATTGAATCTTGATGTAAGTTTGTATGTATTGTAGAGTTATTGATTACTTACATATTGAACAGGAAATCTCTTTAGCAATTGTCTAAATTTACTGAATCACAAACATGTGTTGACACTTAACACTATAAGAAAGTCATTTGAAGGACAAACAAAATATATTATATCCAATTATTCAGCAGAGAATCTGGATTTCTTACATCTTCATTGTATTCTCTAGTGCTTATCTAAGTTCTTGTTGGATCAATGTCTCATTGTTCTGAATCCTATTCCTGTTGCACAATCAGATCAATTACAAAGTGTATGGGCAGTACACAACACCCCAGCACAGCAATCGTGAAAAATATCGAAAAACTAACAATATAGAATAACACATCGAACAAGACTAGTGGTTTACAACATATCCCAGCAATCTGAAGTGTGGGCTGTTGAAGTGAAACACTATTAGCCTCCTTCAAATAGATTTCTTGAACCTAGAAGATGAACCCGATACCCGAAACAGTTTCCAAGTAATTCAGGATTCAACCTCTGGATGCAGTCGAAATGCTGCATGAAGAAGGGTAATAATCTAAAACCTCGACAGCCATTGCTTCACTGCCACTTGAGATCTTCGGCGCTTCCTTTGAGTTCTTGTATTTTGAAAAGAAATACAAGATGGACTTGTTCTGACTATGCGACTCTTCAGAAGATTCCGTAGATTGAAAACTAGGACTAGGAGTTGTACATGATTCGGCTGAGCTGCAGCTGGCATTACTCAGCTTAACAGTCTCAGGAGAGCCGGTGATGGAGCATGTGTCCATCGCGGCGGGATCTTCTTGGTTACAACTTGGATTACAACGAGAACCTTGTTTAAGTTTGAGAAGGGTGGATTCTACAACAATGAGAATACATTATTCTTTTTCTCACAAAATATTACAAAAATAATGTAAATACTTCCCCAAACAATATTACAAATCCCCAAAATATTTTCACAATCTCAATTACTAATAATAAAAAAGTCATTATTCCTAAAACAATAGCGTTTACTTTCAATTTTTATCATTCATAATAAACATAATTTTCAATAAAAATATATTACTTTTTCTCACAATATATTAAAAAAACAACAAAATAAATGTTTCAATAGCAATTTCATAATTCACAATAACTAACATAAACTCCAATAATTCTTAAACACTTTCGTTTATTTGGTTTTGATTTGAAATTGAAGTGTTGATTTGAGTGACTCAAAAAATATTTTGATATGGTATTCTTTTTAAGAGAAAATAGTTAATTTCTGTGCAAGTTGAATAGATTTGAAATCATGACCAAACACAATCTAAATGAACATAACCTACATAAACCATCAAATCCATTCACTGTCTTCCACTTCTCCAACTATAAAAATTGAAATCCAAAACAATCTAAAGCTATTTGTTCTCTTCACACACAAGTTTTCTATACTAGAAATAAAAACAGAAAATAGAAAATATAATGCTTGTCATGAAAAAATATAACATGACTTGATGTTTGTGTCAACAAATTCATAGAATTTTAAGAGTTAATTTTTTTTTATAAAAAAATATACAATTTTATTATTTTTCTCTAAAAACGTTATATCCAACAACTATTTCATCTAAAAAATACATTAAAATCCAGCATGCACACACACAAGCATAGCAACAACAAAGGAGAGTAAACATTAATAATCTAAAATGTTAGATCAGTAACGAGTTTAAACTTCTTTGTTTAGATATGCCAGTCTGCTTTGTGAAATACCTACATATACATACACAAAAAGGACGTTTTTACTTTGTAGGATTAGACTTTCTTATAAATAAACATAATTATGGCATTAGTAATTATAATTACCCTAATCTAGGAAGATAATCTAAAGGGACTATTATTATGCTAAGCTTCTTATAGTGAGTTATTTAAATTTGACAATATTTGTATTCAATTCTTTTCCTTTTTCACCAAAACATGTGCAATAAAATTAGAATAAGTAATGAACATTGAGATGTTGTTCATAATATTCTCTCATTTTTTTAACATCCTATAATACATTTGCTTCTGAAATATTAAAGGTGACACAGCTCAATAATTCTCAATAAATCTGCAATCTAATGAAGACTCAAATATCGAACATGCTAACTTTCCAATTCCCAATTCTTAGTTCAGATGTCTGTCTTAGGAAACTCTACTTCAGAACATTAACCAGTGCAATGTACCCTACCCTCTCTTATCCTTCAATAAGGCCATGACTGGTTTTTAGAATGAATGGATTTAAAATACATCTGAATTCAAATCCATGATTTGGATTAAGTAATTTTTTAGGAAGTATTTGAATAGTACTTCCGATAGAACCAAGATGAACTTTGCAAAAGCGCCCATACCAATCAAAATATCAGAATAAACTATGCAGACACTTGCGAAAATGGTTCACATAGAGAGATTTAGAATAATGGCCATATGGAGAGGATTTAAAGATTGAAATATTATGAAATGGACTTCAAATCTAAAAGGATTTAAAATCCATTCACCTCAAATTCTAAAAGACTTTCCAGAATAACATTGTCTATCTACACATTTCCATCAGATGGTCGCGCCTAATAGAGAATTCTGCAATTTAACTGTGATTTGTAATGCAGAGAATTTTGTATCTGGATGCTAATCAACAACTAACTTAGCTCAATTGGAGCACGAGGAAAGGACAAACAAGGAAATGGACATGATATAAAATAGAAGGATAATAGTGTCCGATTACTTGATTGATTCAGTATATCATAATTCATAAACGTGTAAAAACCTATTTGTATGACCCTCTATTCATCTTAGGATGAAGGATGATGATTCCAAATCCAAAACAACACTGATGAAATAGAAATTTAACCTAACATATGAGTGTGTGTATCTCAGGATATCTTCTCAAGGTTAGGACTTTCTGAGATTATCCCTAATTAGACTTGAGATAAGCTTAAGATACAGTTTTGGATCAATAACAGTTTAAAATCTAAAGGAAGCAACAATATGAACTTTTCCTGAGAAGGAAGACGCATTTCCTCGAATTTTTTCATCTTGAACTTTCTAGGAAAAACAGAATAATCCTTCATTTCCCATTATTCCATAGAAAGGCCTCTGATCTGCTCATAAATTTTCCCCAATCGTATAAACCCTAAATTGGCATCCTACTACCAATTCATAGGACACGAACAGTAAGACATCAATTAGTAACAACAGAAGGAACTAAAATTCACCAAATCCTATACCAAATCAGCTCAAAAACGGCAACGATAGTCGCAATTAACTACGCGACGCCGGCAAATTTTACAGAAAATGAGCAAAAGAAAGTAGCAGAAGCGAATTGGAAGAGTACCGTAGATGGAGAGGGAATCGTGCTTGACGACCTTGGAGGGCGGCCTTTCCATCTCCAGCTGTTCCAGCGAGCTCATCGACGATGCCCTCACTTTCCCCAGCATTATTCCTGATCCGATCAAGAAACGATCGCCGCTAGCCGCCCGCCGCTCCCTTGGGATTGATGAGAGTCGGAGCACGAACCCGGGGGGAAGAGAAGCTTTTTGAAGGCTTCCATTAACGCGGCAAAGGCGAGGGCGCGGGAATTTTGTGCAGAGCCCATCTCAGTTGAAATTTTCGGACTATGGGCTGATTTGCTTTATCTGTTTGAGCTAACGTCCGGTGTGTAAGGGTGTGTTTGTTTGTGGATTTGCAATTTTGGGTTTTTATTTTTTAATAGTAAAATATTGAATTTGAATAGTTTTTTGATATGATATAAATATGTGTTTGATGTGATATAAATAGGGGTTGATGCGATGTTTCAAATGTAAAATAAATTTATACTCCCTCAGTCCCCGCTGCAGAGTTGTTATTTGGTTTTTGCATTTTTGAATAATTTACTCTAAAAATATCATTGTATTGACATTATAAGAGACTAATAAACATATTCTTGTATTTTTTTCTCGATTTGTATTACGTTTTAATATAATAATTAATATTCAAATATTAACATGCAAAAATTCAATGACAACTTTGCAGCGGGACGGGGGAGTAGTATAATATAAAAATTTAAAATGTAATTATTTGATTTGATATTTTTAAAGAAAAAAAAATTCACAATAGTAAAAATCTTACAAAAAAACACAACTAAGAGTTTGGTTTAGAGTTTTGATTTTGAATAGTAAAATTTTGAATTGAATTAATTATTAAATATAATATAAATATGTATCGATGTAATATTTTAAATATAAAAATTAATTTCAGTGTAATATAATAAATAAATAAAAAAGTAATTAATTTGATATTTTTTTAAAAAAAATTAAAATAATAAAATCGAAAATCAAATCTCACGGTTAAAACACCCCATCATGGATGTGTTCTATTGGGTTTTTCTAGGTGTATTGGTTAATTTTAGATTGTGGATTTTAAATACTCTCATCATTCCAACTTAAATATTCTTTTCATCATGTTTTAATTTCATTCAAAATATTTATTTTTGTAAAAATAATTGTGCATTAATAATTTTTATATAAATAACAAATCGTACTATTACACTTGCATTTAATTTAGTACAAAAGGACAAAAATTTTAAAATTATTTTTTACTAAATAATAAAATATTACTCTCTACGTCATTGTACTTAATATTAAAAATATCTTTATATTTTGTATAATTGTTTACAAAAATATCATTATAATAGTATTATAAGACAGTAATAATAATAGAAGTATTTTGCTATTTTTCCTTAATTTGTACCATGTTCACATTAATATTTAAATATCAACTCGTAAAAAGTAAATAAGATGTTAAAGCCTAGTGGAAGTAGTATTATTTTTTAATATAATACAAAACTACAAAAAGCCTATTGGATTGAGACAAACGAGTAGTAAAATATTAAATTTTAATAATTGTTTGATTGAAATTTAAAATATAAAATTACTTATTAACATAATATTAAATAAAACATAACTTGTGTTTCTTTTTGAATAAGTTTGAAGAAGTTAGTTTAGTTTTAGATTGGATTTGAATTGTAGAATTGCATTTGGATTATTATTATTATTTTTTTTGTTTAGGTTTATAAATTTGAAGGGTTTCGAACTTTCAATTGTATTGATTCGATAGTTAATGATTCTATTGGTGTAATAGTTTAATTATAGTAATTTTATTTGTTAGATAATTAAAAAATATAAAAGAATAAAAATTGAGTTATATTATATATTTTTTGAAATTGAAAAAATTTATTTTAAAAATAAAGTGAATGAATTTTGTATCGATATTATTAGACTGCACAAGACTTCCGGAGAAACAAATCGGCGCCGGAAAAAGTTGCTAATACTCAAAAAAGAAATAATCATAAATCTATGTTTAAAATTAGTTTTTGATACTTTCTATTGCACATCACAAAAATTTAATCTCATTCATAGGAACCACTACTTTTCAATTAACCAGAGTTTAACATAGTACATAGTTAATATAATGGTTTGTGTTAGATTATCAGAATTACCGTTTTACCTAAAAGTTAAAACTAGTAGATATGCGCATTATCAATTTATTTTTCTATGTACGAAAGTCAATCAACACGTCCCTCTTATGTGTAAGGGGATATATGCGATCGAGACTGGCATGTGAATATATTTAGGATAGGGACGATGAAATTTGAACTCGAAACTTATAACTCTGATACCATATTAGATGATTAGCTGAGCCGATCATTCTGATCATCTAACAGTTTGGAGCAATTTCGAGATGTTAAGTGTTGTATAGGAACTACTACTACTTTAATTTGGGTTTAATAACGTTATACTCCCTCCGTCCCGCTATAAGGTTGTCATTTACTTTTTGCGTCATTGTACTTGACATTAAAAATATCCTTATATTTGAATAATTTACTCTAAAAATGTCATTGTATTGGTATTATAAGAGACTAATAAACATATTATTGTCTTTTCTTCTCGATTTGTACTACATTTTGATATAATAATTAATATTCAAAAATTAACATGCAAATAGTCAATGACAACCTTGCAGCGGGACGGAGGGAGTATATAAAAAGTAATACAGTTTTTTTGTATGCTTTTATTTAACATTGTATATACTTTCTCCGTCCGTCAATTTTATTTATTTTTTCATTTTAAGTCTGTCCGCTAAATTTACCCAATTAGAAATATATATATATAAATCTCAATCGACACCGATTCTCTTGCTCCTACCTGCCATACAGACTCATTCTCAGTCCTTGGAAAACTTATATTGGCATCATATATAGAACACCTCCCCTGAAAATGAAACACTCAAAACACTCCCGTCGGGCCTGGTTTGCAGAGTCTTAGGTTCGGTCGGGGGTTTACCCAGTGCGCATTTTCGGGTAGCAGCTGCGGATTCTCGAGTCATAAAAAAAAAAAAAAAAAAAAAAAAAAAAAAGAAACTTAGATATGGAACTAACTAAAAATTCAGGGACACAAACACAAGTACAAATTAATTAAAATTCATAATATATATACTAATATACAGTGTTAATGGTTCTAATTGCTGTTTGCAATCAAATTAAGTATTCTTTAATTTTCAGGTACAGCTAAGGTAACAAACAAATTAATTATAATTTATATATATATATATATTTAGTTAAATAAACTATTAGTTTGTTAGTTTGGTACTTATGAATCTTTAACTGTTAGAGGTTAGTTAGTAGAGAAGGACAAATTAATTAAAAGATAGATACACCAACTATACCAGAATGGTTACACTGCTGACTTGAAAATTTCAACATCGTACTGAATTTTTAAATCAGCATTTATAATACATTCAAATATCACATGTTCTTATTACACACATATTCTTATTACACACCATCGGGGGCGGAATTGACCCCCAACCTCCAAAATATATGTGTGTTTTAGTATAAAAAATAGTAAAATTATACTCCCTCCATCCAGCTAGAAAGTATACATGTTTTTATTTTGGGACGTCCAATTACAAAGTAAACATTTCATTAAATACCTTACTTTTTTCCACAAATACCCCTGCTTTACATCACATCGTTACTTTTACACCAAAAAGCAAGGGCAAAAATGTCATTACACTACTTTTAACTACCCACTATAATTAAAATACTATTATTTCTTAAACACCACGCCAAAAGTAATTGTATACTTTTTTTGTGGACGGAGGGAGTATATTTTAATAAGTAATTTGCCTCTTCTATATATTTTTTTTATTTTATAATGTAATAAAATAGTATAAAAATTTTGTCATTGTTGTTTTATATTTTTAGCCTTTAAATTTTAGTTTCTTATAATAAAAAATTATTGAATTTTTTTATAGTTTTGTTGAATTTTTTTTCAAAACATTTTAATTTTTTCAATTTTTTTTTTTTTTGCCCTGGTGTGCTATGAATTAAAAGAAAAAAAGCCAACATTGAATCGATAAAAAAAAATCGATATTTTTGCCCCTCAAAATTTTACTGTTGGTTCCGTCAATGCACACAACACATGTTGTGTGTAATAGAAGTGTGTGCTGTTTATTCAGAATTACATGTCTGTTGCAGGGACTACTCATAACAAGAGCAGGGTAAGCAACTGCTCAGGCTCCTAATCAATAGATGACCTATATTTTAAATATTATCTATTATTATTATTAAATTTTAAAATTAAATTTTAACTTTTAATTTATATTTTTTTCTTTTTTCATAATTATCCTATTTAATTTTAAAATTAAAATTTAATTTCTAATCATATATAAGAAAAAATTTATTTATTTCTAATGGTGTACATTTCTTTGCCTTACACCCTATAGTATTGCCCCCAACAATTCGATCAAACTTGTCTCACTTTTTCTGTTATATCTTTCACCCTCTTTTGATCCTTCTTGCTTTTCGAACTTTTAGACAAACCGTCTTTCATCTTTTTTTCTCAAATTGACATTGTCCTGACGGTCATTCAACTTCTTGTTCAATCAACGTCAATCAGTAATATTATTAAAAATACATTTTAATCATTTATTTGTAGGGCCTACCTAAAAAAAGTCCGAGACGGCCCTGGTCTGTTGTGTAAGAGTATCTCATGTGCTAAAATCAACTGTTGTATATGACTATAGCATGTGTTGTATATTTAATATATTAATATAAGAGGTGTGATATCATAAGTAATACAGTGAGTTGTTTATTATTATATGATGTATTTGTATTATATTAATATAAAATAGGTGCTGACTGACGTAATACACTGTGTTGTTCGTTATTACAAAATGTGGTGTTCAACACAGTGCTGAATTTCAGTGTACCCGCCGCCCAACTATATACACATATCATCCGACAAAGATGGATGAAACAAGACAAAATATATAAATATATATATATATGCATATATATATATAATTTAATGTAAAAAATAAAAATTTAAAATATAATAATGTGAATTTCACCCTTCTCCCCAAATTCATGTCTATTACTTTATTTTTACTATTTATTTTATATATAAAAAAATATAATTTTTGTTCACTCAAACAATTTTTTTACTAATGCAATTTCTATCTATATAATATAAATTATATTATCTCAAAACAATTAACATTCAATACTAAACATTATTTTTTTTTATAACAATATAATTTTTTATATCTCAAACTAAAACGCTAAAGAAATACACCCACAAATTTTTATCTAAAACATCAACTCTCCACCATATTTTTGCTTTCTTTTTTCTTTATTGTTTTTTTGTATCACCTCATTATATTGTGAAGGGGTGTCGAAGATGTTAAAGATATCATCGAATCAGTAGATACTAAGTATATTTGTACGGTTTTTTAGGTGATTGTTTTTTTTTTTTTTTGTTATGAATAAATAAATTTGCTCTTAATTGTACAGTAGGGATTAAAAGTAATAAATGAATGGAAAGTAAAAATGTAAAAATTTTTGTTTAAAAAAGAAAATTGGACAATAGTTATTGGACATCTCAAATAAGAAAGTTGGACATTAGTTTGTGGACGGAGGGAGTAGTATTTTTTTCAGACACAAAAAAAGAACTATTAGTTTAAATAAAAAACTAAGAAATCACCGATTTTAGTTTATACTATTAATTTATATTTATTTTTTTAAAAATCTTTTATTTTTTAATTTCAATTAAAAAACTTTAATTTTAATGTAATTTTATTTAGAAATATTTTTTTTTGTGCGTAAACAATTATATAAATAATAATAATAATAATAATAATAATTAAATAGATGGTTACCAAATATAAATTAATTATGTTGAATAATAATATGACAAATCCGATGAAAATAATAATATAACAAAAAAATATAAATTTCAAATTATTATTATTAAAATAAAAATAACAATGAGAATAATAATAAATACATTTTACAGAGAACTAATATATTTTTAATATTTTTGTTAAACATTTGAATTTTTTTATATGTATTTACAAGTGTACTCATTAGAAATTATATAAATTAATAAAATAATATTTGATTCACAAATTTATAAAATCTAATAAAATCCAAATTAAAATCAACAAATAATTCAATCAAATCTAATCCAAATTCATATAAATCCAAATTAATCGAAACAAATTCTAAATGTATACACCCATAACTATAAATGTATTATTCTCATAAAATGCACACACTTTTGCCTAATCACATCCACGCTCCACAACCGCCAGAGCCCGCCAACAGGTACTCCTCTTTTCTCTTTTTCTTTATTTTTTTCTTTTTCTTCTTTTTTTTTATCCGCCCCCCCCCCCCCCCTCCCCCCCCCAAAAAAAAAATATTATTTCTTAATTTAATAATAATATTATCTACCTATGGTAAATAATACGCTCACAATTTTCAATATATTATACAAATGTCATTACTTTATATCACACAATTTAATAGGAACATTTTTGTCTTTTCCACTATAAATCAATACTTCATTCATCCGCATCTAAGGGTCACATTTACGTTTTATTGTATTTAACATTAAAAATAATCTTATATTTGTATAATTTTCTTATATAATAATTAATATTCAAAGATCAAACACGTAAAAAGTAAATGAAGAGGTAGTATAATACTAATATTAAAAATCTACGTGTAAAAAACAAATATTACTCTTTTTACGAGACGGAGGTATAGTATAATAATGGTCGAACCGCCGGCAGTTCACGGTTTGACAGAATCATAAACCGAAATCGAACCATCAGAACGAAAGTTTGGATTCGATTTGTAACGATTTTGATTCAAACCGTAACCGCCGTTCAAAAACGAAAAATCGGCTGTTCGAACCGACCGAATGGGCAACTCTAGCCTTACCTGTTTGGAGTGGGCTTCGCTAATTTGACCTGATCGCTCCCAAGAATTACTTTGAACTGTTCTTTCCAACCTTTAGAAAAAAAAAAAAAAAAGTCATCATAAGAAAAATGAAGTCGAATTTCTTCACAGAAAGCTTCTGTACGAATGCATAGAAATCGTGGATATAAAATATGATTTTATATTGATGAACCATTTACCTTAGTTAAATTTCGTAGAAACAGTAAAAAAAAATAATATATTTGTAACAGAATTCTGTTCCTAAAGTTCACGTAGCTAACGTAATTTCATCTCTAATTTCGTCTCTAATATCATTAGTAACGGAAAAAGATAAATTTAAGAACGAAAAAATCTTGTTATAAAATTGATATTTTTTTGCAGTGAAAATAGATTTATTAAGTAAAGTAGAAGAGAAAAACAAATAGCTACCAGTATTAAATACTCCCTCAGTCAATTTTCTAATATCCTAATTGATATTTATACGTATTTTTAGACAATTAGGATTTTTGTTATAAAACGACAAATTTGTCATTTATTTTATGTATAAAAAAAAAACGAGTATATAAAGTAAGGATAAAAAAATAAAATCTGTATATAAAAATAGAAAAAGGATAATAATTATTGGACATTCCAAATAGAAAAATAGGACGTTAATTTGTGGACATGGAGTATAAAATAGAATTGAATATAATAATTTTATCTATTTCAATCTTTAAAATTATTTGTATTATAAAACTTGAATTCATAAATATACTAACCCTATAGTTTTCCCTCCAATAATATTAATATTAGAATTTGACTTTAAAATTATCAACATTATATATAGTTGCTAACACAATAGTTAATACACAAAATTTTCTTGGCTCAGGAACGATTTCTTGGCCATGGAAATGTCTCACCGTCAGCTTATGGAAATTGAATATAGCAGCGTCGATCGATACCGTCGACTATGCGTGATCAATCGTGGGGGTTTTGGCGTCGTCTACAAAGCAATCGATACTGAGACTGGAGAAACAGTAGCGATGAAGCACGAATTGGGAGGGTTGTCGAAGACATCTATTGGAGAAATTCGTATTCTTGAGTTTCTTCGTGGTCATCCTTCTTTCGTCGAACTAAAGGGAATCGCCAGAGATGGGAAGGATGGACTTTATATGGTAATGGAGTTCGTAGAAAATAATCTTAAAACGCACACGGCATCTATGACAAGGCCAATATCTACTTGCGAAGTAAAAGATTTGATGCAGCAGTTGTTGGTAGGCGTGAAATTTCTTCACGACAATGGGATGATGCATCGGGACCTCAAACCTTCAAATATTCTGGTGTCGAAAGAAGGCTTGCTGAAAATATGCGACTTTGGGCTTTCGCGAGTCTATAATTATAAGAATGGAATGCACTCACTGGGTGTCGGGACTTTATACTACACAGCACCGGAGATGATTCTCGGGCTAGAAAATTATACGTGCGCAATAGACATGTGGTCTGTGGGATGCATAATGGCCGAACTTTTTTTGAATCAAGTCATATTTAAAGGTGCATCGGAAGCTAAGCAGCTGAACGAAATCTTTAATATTCTTGGGACGGAAAATTTCAGTATACCGGGCATATATATCAAATTTGACAAACCACGTAGAAGTTTTTTGAAGTTGAAGATTGCTGCCGGGAGTCCGATTGGGGGGCCGATTCTGACGGAGCTTGGATTGGATCTTTTATACAAGTTTTTTAGTTACAATCCGACGGAGAGAATAACAGCAGGAGATGCGCTAAATCACGAATGGTTCCGAGAAAATTGATTCGTTTGAATATAGTTCGCCTATTAGCTGCGGATTGGGTAAATTGGGTGAATTGTATATGCAGCTTTTTTGAGTTTGCTGTGTAATTATTTGGTCGATGATACATCATATTGATTAATGTACTAAGGTACTTGAATAAAATTAAGTTTGTGTATATATGTTTGAATATATATATATATATATATGTAATTAGCTGTTGGGTAATTTTTTATTTTTTATTTTTTTTGGTTAATGACGTGGGAATCCGCAGTTGCTGGCTGCTACTTTAATTTGGATATACTCCCTCCGTCCATAAAAAAGTATACAATTACTAAGAAATAATAGTATTTTAATTATAGTGGGTAGTTAAAAGTAGTATAATGACATTTTTGCCCTTACTTTTTGGTGTAAAAGTAATGATGTGATGTAAAGTAGGGGTATTTGTGGAAAAAAATAAGGTATTTAATGAAATGTTTACTTTGTAATTCGACGTCCCAAAATAGAAACATGTATACTTTGTAGCTGGAGGGAGGGAGTATAATTAATGGGCGACGACAGATAATTCCAATTCAACGCGGACTGAGGAATGTCGGCTCACACGGTTATATAAAACCCCTAGCAAACTAACAGACGGTTTTGTTTTGTGTATGGATGATGGATGCATACTGTGGGTTCAGTCTTGAAATTGATTAAATAAAATAATATTTCATCCGTCTCAAAACTACAGTGCGTGTGTTTAAGAAATATTAATAGTATATTGGTAGTAGATAAAAAGTACAGGTAAAAGACTTTTTTGTCCTTGTGACTGTATTAGTGTAAAAAGTAGTGACAATTGTGTAATAATAATGAAAAAGTAAGGATAGCTTTACATATGACTATTTATGGAAATGAGACTACTGTTTTAGAACAGACAAAAATAGTAAACAAGTATTCCTTCCGTCCTAAACACCCTGCAACATTTCATTTTTGGTACATCCCAAACACCCTGCAACATTTCCAAAATAGGAAATAATTAATTATACTTAATCTCTACCCCACCCTTTATCCCCTCACATCATCCAAATAAAAAAATAAAATATATATTTCTCTCTCCGTTACATCACCTAATTTCTAAATTATCCTACTTAATACTACCCACCTAAAAATCCGTGCCAAAATCAAATGTTTCACCATGTTTGGGACCGGAGTATTAGTTTGTCATATTGATATTTGAATAGAGTGTAGTGTGGAAGTTAGTTAGTTAGTTAGAAGTTGTTAATTTTATTTGGGCTTATATATATATTTTTAAATTATATAACACTATCTTGTGTTTTAATAAACATTGACAAAATATCCTATGTTTTATTTTTTGCATGACAAAATACCTTCGTTATCCAAAATTGATGTTTGGTTACCTAAATTACGCAAGTTCTATACAAATAAAAAACGTAAAATATCTTTAATAAACTTTTTAAATAAAATAGATAAATAAATAATTGATTAATCATTCATTTTATTATTTTTTTGAAACAAATTATTATCTATTTTTACCAATACTATAAAAATAAATTATTTATTATTTTATTCAAAAAATTATTTAAGATATTTTATATTTTTTATTTGTAGAAAACTTTAGTCACCAATCATCATTTTTGGACCATCATTTTTGACGTAGTTTGTATTATCTAAATATTATTGTTGTGCTCTTTCGTAATTAACAGCGTGTTCTTATGAAATAATTATTATACTTTTTTGAAATTTCAGTGTTAATATTTTCTTTGGTGTCTACAAATGTGATTTAATTCATTGATTATAATTTATCATCGTCATCATCTTTTTCTTCGGCGGACTCAACAATTGTTGTCATATATATTGTTTTAATATATTTTGTACTTAAATATCTTGATAATTTTTCATATTTAAACATGTTTTTCTTGGTAGGTAATCCTTGTTAATTAGGTAAGTGTTTAACCAACTCCATTAAACTTGGGTCTTTTGTATGACATTTTAGTGTTTTTTCTTCATCTATGTGAGCAATAAAAACATAACAAACACAGACGGCTATTCTCTATTTTTTATTCCTTTGCAAGCTTGTTTGTTCTTTTACATGAAAATATTAATATAATATAAAAAATAAAAAAAGATAGATATTTGATATAATATTTTTAGAGGAGCAAAAATTTTATTAAAGAGTAAAAATTTGATCCAAAACTTGTAAACGAACACAATTTTATTTTTATTTGTATATAATAAATGTTAAGACTAATCATCCCACAATTAATCAATAATGGTCGAAAAAAATGAATCGATGGAGCGAAGCCATATGGCGCCCTATCCCGACTGAAGTTTCTTGCTCAAGAGATGAGTAATCGATGGTTGAGCATAACTTCCATTCCAAAATGCATCCGCAACGGCCTTATACATAGCTTCGGTGAGGTGAACCCCGTCCCAATTAATATATTGAGAAGGGTTCGCGCATGCGCTAGCAGAAGGCGACCCACAAGCGTACATATAGTTGAAGTTATAAAGATCTCCGTTGTATCCGCAACAAACTTTGAAAATTTCTTTTATTCCATATTTGCCAGGGTTCTTCAAAACCGCCAAATAAGCATTGTAGTAGTCCGCGTAGACTATGGTGGATTGCGGAAATTGCTTTCTAAAAACATCTAGTTTGGCCTTTAGAGCGAGGTTGTGCGTGTAGCTTTGTTTGTTAGCGCTCGCGACACATCCCATTGCATCCCGATCGTTAGATGGGGCTAAATATAATGATAGGGTTAGGCATCCGGTGGGCGGGAGGCCTTGCACGACGATGTATTTTGCGCCCTTCTCTAATAATGCCTGTTTAAAAGCAATATGATCTTTGTTTAGATAGAGGGTTTTGGAATTTTGAAAGTTTAGAAAAAATAAAAAATTAGTATTTGATTTGATGTTTTGTGAGAAAAAAAATGTATTTGATGTAATATTTTTTAAAAAATAAATAGTGCCAAATGAGTTAAAGTATATTGGATAAACAAAGCCTATATTTCGCGTTAAAATTAATTAAAAATTATAATTAAATAAATATTTGCCACATAAAAATAAGGGTATGAATCTAGCCAAGATTATTGTTTAGTCTAGGGAATCTTGAGTCCTTGTTTTATCAAACTTAGTTTGCAGGCTATTAGGTTTGGCCGGAGGTTTATCCAGAACGTAGTCAAGGAATAGCAGCTGCGAATTCTCATAATATAAATAAATAAATAATAATAATATATGTGCCACATACTCATATAGATATATATATAATGTTGAATAAAATTTATTGCTTTATTGAACTTTTACTTGTATGATTTGGATTTTGAGATTTGGTTTTGAAGAGTAAAAATTGAAATAGTTGTATGATCGGATATAAATATGTATTGATGTGATGTTTTGAATGTAAAATTTAATTTTAGTGTCTAATAAATAGAAATAAGTGTTTGATTTGATGATTTTTTAGAGAAAAAAAAAGTTAGTAAAATCTAAAATCAAATCTCACAAGTAAACACACTAATTATAATTACTGAACATCAAATTTTTAAATATTTTTTGAACTATATATAATTGAATATTTGTAACTATTTAACTCCTATAATTATCATTCTCCTAATGTAATATTAAATATATAATCCAACAACACCCGGTGAATTGTTGAGTTTATTATACAAAAATAAAATTACTTATTAATTTTTAAAATTTAATTTTTTATTCAAAATATTATATTAAATATATATATTTTTCATACAAATATCATGTCTAATACTATGTAAAATTTAATATATACATATCAAAATAAAAAATACATACATTAAAAAATGCTGAAAATATTAGTATTTAATAAATTTATCATAACACCAGTTCTATTTGTTACGTGAGAATGTTTAAAAAAAATATTATATGAGAGATAGAAAATGGTGTAAAAAATATAAAAATAGTAAACGGATATAATGTAGTTTAAAAAAAATATTATATGAGAGATAGAAAATCGTGTAAAAAAATATAAAAATAGTAAATGTATATAATGTATTAATATTTTTGAAAAAAAGTAAGAAGAAAAAAAAGTAAGAAGAACGAAGCCTTAATTTACTTTTTATCTACTAATTTTAAAATTGAAATATTATTATTATTTTTTAACCATTCACTTTAACAAATACTACCTCCTTCCGGCGGGTTTCATTTATTTTTAGTGTGTTAATATTTGAATATTAATAATTATATCAAAACTTAATACAAATTTAAAAAAAATTGTAAAAATATCTTCATCAGTGTCTTGTAATATTAATATAAAAAAATTTATACAGAAAATTATACAAAATATAATAATACTTTTGATGTTAAGTACACATGCGGACAACGGAGGGAGTATTATTTTTAAATTTTCTGTCCAATTAAACTTATATAAAATTTTCAACTTGAAGAGAGTATATTTTTAGTAAAATATTTATTATTGATGACACCAACGCCAAACCGAAAACCCATTCATAAATGCATACCTGAAGAAAAGTAGCGACGCTATTAACGGCGAGTTTCTGCACAGTCTCCGGCGGCACCGCCGAGGCAAAGCTGTAGGCATAATCATTAGCCCCAATCTCACCCACCCAAATCAGCGCCTCCTCAAACATTTTCCGGCACGCTGCCGCCGTCGCCGCCGCGTCTCGACACCCTCTTTCTTCCGCCACCTGGTCGAACCACCCGAGCTCCGTCCGGATCGACTGCGGCGTAATGTTAAGCGTCATGTTGTTCTTCGCGAAAAAGCTGTGGATGATCGCCGTCGCGCCCGCCACCGCAAAATTCACGCTCGACTCCGGTGACGGGCGGCTTAGGTACGGCGGGAGGAAGGGCAAGGAGAGGGCGTCGGCGACGAAATCAATGACAAGGCGGCCGTCGGAGTAGCGGTTGGTGGGTCGGTGGAAGAACGTGGAGCCGTACGGATTGTTCGACACGAACATGAAGCCGCTCGGGCCGGTGTTCGATTGGGTGTTGCCGGTGTCGGTGTAGGAGTCGCCAAAGGCGTAGATCGCGTCGAACGGGCGGTGGCGATGCGGCGCCGGGGCCACGTAATTAATACAGGACGAACAGAGGATTAGCGTGAGAATGAATAGTCGGGAAATGGGAGTAGCCATTTGTTTGGAGATAGGCCTTGGAATAAGTTACCCATGGGGGATTCATATATAGGAATTGTTGCACAGAATCCGGGCGTCTTTATTTGTACCATTTACTTTTCGTAGGTTGATATTTGAATATTAATAATTATATCAAAATATTGTAAAAATTAAGAAAAAATTACAAAAATACTTTTATTAGGGTTTTATAATATTAATAGAAGAATATTTGTACAAAATATTATATAAATATAAGAATATTTTTAATGTTAAGGACAATGACGCAAAATATAAATATAATCCTTAGAGGCAGACGAAGGAATTATAATTTTACACTTATGATTTTATTATTTTAAAAAGAAATATTTTTTTCGTCACAAAACAATACGAATATTTGGGATGAGCATGGGAATTAAGAAGTAATAGTACTATATCCGTCCGGCTCTAAGGTCTCATTTACTTTTTGCGTGTTGGTATTTGAATATTAATTATTATATGAATACGTAGTACAAATTAATGGGAAATGATAAAAATACTTCTACTAGTGTCTTATAATACTATTATTATGATATTTGTGCAAAAAATTATATAAATATAAAAATATTTTTAATGATAAGTACATTGAAGCAAAACGTAAATGAGACCTTTAGAGCTGGACGGAGGGAGTATTATATTGATAGTGGATGTAAAAGTGTTTTTAAAAGACTAAAGTGTCTTTATTTTATGTAATTATTGTGAAAAAAGTAGATATAATTTTGTAAAAAAATGGTGAGTTAGTTACCAAAAATAAAAATGAGACTATTGTTTTAAGACGAACGCAAATGACAAATGACGGGGAGAGTATATCAAGTGAGACATTGATTTTTTATTTATTATATTATATTAAAATTTAATTTTACACTTAAAATATTACATCAACATATATTTATATTACATTAAAAACTATTTCAATTCAAAATTTTATTGTTCAAAGTTAAAATCAAAATCAAAATCTATAAAACATACCATAATGTTTTTAGTTTAAGGCTTTTTTCTTTTTTTTTTTTTTTCTTTTATATTAGATATGAAAATTAATGTTTGGTAATATTAAAAAAAAAAATTAATATTTTCACTATTTGTTATAATTATATCATTTTTTTTCATATTCTTTTTTTACTTTATGGACAACAATTTTATTAATTTTATTTTAACAAATGATGATTAATTTTTCTCTATTTTTCTATTTATTTTACTATTTATTTATCAATTTTTAATAAATTTTTTATAATACTCTACCTTATTTTTTACTTATCTCATTTTTATATTTAATTTAATTTTTTTTTTTTTTTTTTTTTTTTTTTTTTTTTTTTTGTGTCCAAATAAAATGATATCATTATCTACTTTCGTTTACTTACGATATTTTGAATCACTTGCTATATTAAATAGAAATGAATACTATTTGTATATAATCGTGTTTTTTCTTACAAAAGAAGTTAGTACCTAAAGCTTATATTTTTTCAATTTTAATTAAGAAATTATGCTAAATTTATATTTTTATAGGAATTATTTCCTCAGCCTTGTATTGCATAGAAAAATTGTTTGAAAATTTTAATATAATTGTCTATAAACAAAATAAAATAAAATAATGGCAGCCCCACATTTTAATCCAATCCGGTTTTAAAAATGGTTTATTTCCAAAGACATATACTTTATGAGACTAAGGGTGTGTTTGTTTGTGGCTTTGAGTTTGAATTTTTTAATAGTAAAAAATTGAATTTAATTAGTTTTTTTAATATGATATAAATAGATGTTGATACGATATTTTTAATTTAAAATAAATTTATAGTATAAAATAAAAAATAAAAAATAATTGATTAATTTAATATTATTGAAAAGAAAAAAAATTTTAAATAGTACAAATCTTATGCAAAAACCACAGAAGAAATTATGTGATTAAAAACTATTGTGCTAGATAGTTATTTTTCAATAAAAGATAATTAAATTGTGATATAACTTTTTACTGTCAATAAAATAGTCATCCAATAATTTTTTGACCTGTTTTTTTTATTAATATTATAAAAAATATAATGCTTACACAAAATATATAATATATTACCTCCCGTCCGATTTTAAAGGTCTTATTTACTTTTTGTGTGTTGATATTTGAATATTAATTATTATATCAAAATATAATAATAAAAAAAAAACTATACAAATATATGAATATTTTTAATGTTAAGTATAATGACCGTAAAAAGTAAATGTAACCTTAAAGGCGGAAGGAGGGAGTATAGCATTATATACACTTAATAAAATAAATTTTTTTCTATACAATATCATTTCATTTTATATTACTATAGGCTTTTCCATACCTAAAAAACACTTCAAATTCAAGACACAATACATTATTACTAATAAAATAAAAAATTAATATAAAAAAACTATTTTAATATAATGTAAATATTATAAATTGAAATAAATAAAGTAATATAATTTCAGGTCAATCTGAAACCCAAAATTAGACTTGATGCTTATATTTTGGATTATCAGGTCAACTTGAATCTAACCTGATTTCTTTTGTATTGAGTTTGGATCGATCCAATTTTTTTACAAATATGAAACACCAAAACCTAAACTTGAAAATTCTCAAGTCGAACGGGTTCAATTTTTTGAATCGGTTTTAATATTAAAACCATAACATATACACCCAAAGAACGTGTTTTGTTTCCCGATAAAAAAAAAAATAAAAGAACATGTTTTGTTTGGGTTTATATACAATTTTTTACTATTTAAACTTCACATTTTTTTATGACAAAAAATATTTTTTTTTTCTCTGATTAACTATTACAAATAGCTGTTCCATTCCAATTCAAACTATTATTTTTTTACAATTTTCGTTTGCGTCATTTAAAATTACCAGTTTTTCTATTTCAATAGAAATATTATACATTAATATTAAAAAAATTCTTTAACTTTTACTTAAATTGTAAATATATCATTAAATATACAATTATTTTATACAAAAAAATAAATGATAAAAATATCAAAATATCTTATATATATTCACTGACCAACAAAAATATTATTATTTTTTAATATACTAAAAATCTCAAAAAGATACATCCAAGACGAAAAAAATATTATACTAATTAATCAAATTAATTAATTATGTAACAAAAAATTTTAAAAATTGACTTTTCTTTTTTTTTTTTTCAAAAAAAAAGTGGATTATTATTATTATTATTATTAAAGAAAAAGACAAGGGACAGAATGGGTGGTGGTTAAATAGGGAAATAGTAGGTGAAGTAATAAATGATTAATAGCTACTTCAACGGTGCAATTGATGCACAAAATTATATATGTGACCTAATTTTGTGAGCACCATTTATGGCATCATCAAACGGGTCCATTTATTTAAATTTATTTTATCTAGTACTATTTATTATTATTAAAATTACTGTTTTAAATATTTAATTTTTATTTAATTTTAATATAAAAAATTTAATTAAAATGTCACATAAAATATTTATTTATATTATATCAAATGTTTTCCTACTTCAAAATTGAATGATTTTGATAAAGAATTGCAAATGTTAAAATTTTATATAAAATATACTCTCTCGTCCGCCTTCTCATTTATCTTTTGCGTCATTATTTTTAACATTAAAAATATCTTTATATTTGTATAATTTTTTGCACAAATGTCATTACAATAATATTATAAGACACTAATAGAAGTATTTATTCTAATTTTTTTGATTTGTACTACGTTTTCATATAATAATTAATATTAAAATATCAACACACAAAAAGTAAATGAGACTTTTAAAGTCGAACGACGGAGGTAGTATTATTTTATTTTACAATATATGACATTAAGGTCGTTTCTTAGTTCTAATGTCTCAGGTGAAAAAATAAAATCAGACCACAATATGTGACTATTAATGACTTAAAAGGGTATTTAGTTGCATTGAAGGACAACAATGTAATGTTAATAACATTTAATGGCAAGATGAAAACATTTAGGGTGTGTTTGTCTGGGAATTTGAATTTTGAGTTAGGATTTGAATAATAAAAATTTTGAATTTGAATAGTTGTATGACGTGATATAAATAGATGTTGATGTGATGTTTTGAATGTAAAATTGATTTTTAGTATAATAGAAAAAATAAAAAATAAATGTTTGATTTGATATTTTTTGGGGACGAAAAATTGAATAAATAGTGGATTTAAAATCCAATCCCCTAAACAAACACACCCTTAGTGTATGTTTGTTATAGGGAATTCATAGCATTTTTTATTTTTATTTTATTTGAATTAGAGAAACTAAAGTCGACAAATAAATCATTTTATTTCTTTTCCATATCTAGAAAATAGAGATAAATGGATATTGACTAAGTATATTTATCTATTTTTAAAATTTTTTACTATTTAATTTTTATAATTTATTTTTTAAACTATATTATTCAATCTTATAATACATCACATTTAATTTATTACCAAAGTCTTTAATTTTTATTTTAAAAAGAAAATTACACTAAAATCAGATCCTAGAAAATTTCACATCTAATTTATTATTTAAACAAAAAAAAGTGACAAAAAATATTTATTCACGGAATTCCACTCGTTAAAACTCTCTCTTGTTCAATCAATCATTTATTCTTAATCGATCTATCTAGATGGTGTATTTTTTTACATTATTCAACTGAATTCTATGTTTTACTGAACAAAATTGTTGAGATATTTTAGATATTCAGTTTTAGATTTAGTAAATTTATAGTTAGATTTGATCTTATCTACATATTATATTACTTGAATTTGAGTCTATCGGTACGTTTTGTATTACCTATATATAGACTCCTTATTTTGATGATCAATAAGACAATTTCATTATTTTCCCCCAAAATTTCTAACATAGTATCAGAGTTTATTTTTCTCTTGCCATAGATATAGCCTACCAACCCGCGTTTGTCCAGGTACATTCAACATGGGATGTACCCAGAGGTCTCCTAATTTTAAATTTTTTTCTATAGTTTCTACCCCTTTTTTTTTTTCCTTATGATTTTGATTTTGTCTTG